GATCAATGGTGGCAAACACGAGTGATACAGCCTTGCTTCGTCTGGTCTGTTAACATATTTGTGGTCGTATGCGTACTGACTCGATTGTTGGTCTATGGAGAGCCTGTACAGGTAACTTGACTAAACAGTAGTATTTTTTTCCTATTTGAAATGTGTAGACTTTGAAGTTTTCTTATTTTCACAGCTATTCCACTTGCTAGGTGTTAGTTTGTACATAAAAATGGCGCCATTTTAAGCAAACTCGTCCTGGATCCATGGGCCTTAGGACGTGTCTAACGAAAATGTTAGTATCTAGCACTCTTCCTTAATCTGACCTCTTTAGGACTTCAAGTCCAGATCCTGGCGTGTATTCCTCACAATTAGAGCACGAGCCCGTAAGGAAGCCGAACATGGGAATGTAAGGGAAGCTCAGCGACAGTATATAGAGTGCTTGCAGGTAGCGATCACAATCTCTCATTGTCTTTCTATACGGTAAGAATCTTCGAGAGCAACCCTTTATAGATTCTAGAAAGGCCCTTACCATCAGCTGGTGTTGAGCAAGCTCTATCTGTAGTTTGGCAGATCATCCGACATGCTCTGAATGGCCTATGGATAGGAAGGTTTGTAAACTTTCAAATTTTATTTTTATTCTGACCCTTACTCTATTCTGTAGAGACTGATTTTAGATGGTTTGCGCGACGTAGACGTGACGCTGGGAAACCTGTTACGGTCGTCTGTAAGAGTCATGCTCATACAGCAATGGTCTACCATAAAATGCATCAAGTAAGACAAAGCTATCAGATTTTGGAGCTTAAAGCTTATTGAGCATCTTGTGGCTAGATTTTATTTTTCTTGTGGGACGCCTGAGCGCATCATTTACCATTGAGTTAGTTTTTTAGTGCTTAACATCCAAAACATGAAATTATTGAAGAATATAGGGAATGATTACCTTCTAGTTATTCATTTATTATGCTAAAGGTAGTCAGTAAGTATCTTTTAGCGACCTGATCAGAATTTTAAAGTTTTGGGCGTCTTGAGGCGACTGCATTGAATGAGCGTTTGCAATACAAGTAGTTGTATTCCTTGTATGTATTCGTGGATTTTCTCCTCTTTAGCTGCACCTCCTTGGCGTCGACGAAACTAGTGAAGGAGTCTCTGGACTATACTTGGCCCTCTCCGCCGTAAACCTTGCCGAAAGCGCTGGAGCATCTACTGATGGTTTACCTCGAAATGTTCTGGCTGATATTTATATTGCTGCTGCGATTAGGTTAGCAGATACCTATTAATTGTACTTTGTCATGAAAATTTTGTATTTTATAGAGCTCGCCTCTGTCTGCCTCCTTTTCTTGCTTCCATTTTCTCTCCATATTTTTACAAGCGAGCTCGTCGTCATGTAAGAAGAGCAGACGAGGATAGTGTAAGTACAGTCAACCTCACTCTTTCTTTTTCAAAAACAAGAATGAATACAAAAATTTGAAATTCAGTTAGCTAATTATTGAAATTAACATTCAGCGTTTTTAGGTTAGTGGCCTCCAGTGGTTGTTCCACCCTTTGTCTCGAGAAATTCTCTCGGATCCCGAAGCTTTAAAAACCATACTAAGCGCTAAAAAGACTTCATTAAAGCCTTTCATTGGAGAATGCGATGGTAAACTGCCTTTTTTTTCTAAGCCACATCCAGCTTTTTCATGTTTTCACTCCTTTTTAGGTGATGTCCTTTCGCGACTCCGAGCGGCTTTTAAGCTTCGGCTATTAACCCTTTTGGCAAATGAGTTGATTGGTGAGAATGGGTCCAAGGAAATCGATGTCGTTGATGTGTCTCGCCTTCTCATAAGCATCTCGATGGCCGGCGGCTTGCCAAAGAAGGAAAATAGTTGGGGTAAGCTCAAAATCTCCTGG